TGCCTGGCCTGCTGGCCTTGGGGCAGGTGGGGATGGCGGCAGGGAGGCCTGGGCGCGGGGTCCCCGGACACTGGTGCTTCAGTTCCCGGTGGCCCTGCCCATGGCCCTGCCCACTGCAGGCTGAGTGCGTCCTGGCGACGGGCAGAGGCCCCGGGGACGGCAGCTCCTGAGGGCCACGGCACCAGGAACGATCGTTCATGCCTTTGCCCTTCCCTGAGGGTGACCCTGACGTCACCTTGAGTTTTAGCTATGGCTTTAAAGAGCGCCGGGTCCTGAATCAGAGACTCGTCCCGAGGCCCGGGTCCGGCGGGGAGGCTGTTGCTTACAGCGAGGCGGGGATGCGCTCGTGGCCTCATTAGCTGTGGACTCCCCAACGTCTGGCTGGGCAGCCTCGCTCACCGCTCTGTCTGCTCTCTGTTCTCAGGCTGCCTTCCAGGAGAATGTGGGGAGACAGGTAAGGCTGCCTTTCCAACTTTGGCTCCTGCACTTCCTGCACAGCAGAGTCTGAAATCTCGAAGGCTGGAGACTTGGAGTCTTCTGGCATGGTCAGGCGTGAGCGAAGGATCTGCTTTGGCGTGACGCCGAGCACGATGGCTGCTGGTCACAGGCCCTGCAGTATGGGTTGCCAGTGTCGACACACGTCGAGACAGTCATGTGATGCATGCACACGGGTCGGAGAGCTAACCCGAGCTACCGGGCTGTGGGCAGGTCTGGGGAGAGTGTGGCGGAGGCCTGGCCTGGCGAGGCCTGAGCCCTCACTGTCCCCGGCCTGCTGCTGGGAGCTCCTGCCTCAGCTAGGCCACAGTGGAGCCCAAAGGCCAGCGGCAGGAACTGCTCTCCTGTGTCCTCTGACCTCTGACCCTGACAGCTGGTCACCGATCCGCCTCACCTGGTCACTCACGTGGGTGGTGCTGACACACACATGGTCGGACTGATGGGGCGCTGGGATGGAGGCAGCTGAGCAGGGCAGGCCTGGGCAGACGGCAGAGCAGAAACAACCACGGGAGGAAGAGGGGGTGGGGTGGGGGCCCATGGTCACGCGGCCAAGGCCCCTCAGGCCAAGCCAGGTCATGTCAGGTTGCAGAGCCTGGCCCGCTGTGCCGACCGGAGGTGAGGTGGCTGGGTGGTCCAGGAGACAGGCTGGCCAGACGCCTGTGTTCCGGGAACATGCAGAGAATGGAGCGGCCGAGGGCGGGGCGAGGGCGCCTGTGCTGCCCAGCCTTGTGGGCCTCGGAGAACGTGGCAGACACCAGAGAGGGTGGCCACAGCCCCAGCCAGGGCTCCAAGGCCACCCGTGCCCGCCCTCCCTGCCTGCTTCTCTTGGGGCCGATGACAGCCGGGAAGCTGGCCGCAGCCCATCGGCGCATGGAGCGCAGGGGTGGGAGGGCTGGCACCACTGGCCCGGCAGGTGCCCGTCCTCGGCAGCCAAGGAGGTGCTGGCCCTTGTGCTTCCAGCACCCACAGGTGAGGACGTGGGCTGTGCGGCCAGGACACCCAGTCGGAAGTGGCACAGGGTGGGTCTGGCCATCTGCACTCCCACACCCTTGGGTGGTCAGGTCTCCTCCCTGGAGGCGTGCCCTGCACAACGTTCGAGGCTCCTGAGTTCTGAGCCATGGATGGGGCTGGGCTGAGGACAGGCTTCCCTGCCCCGTCTAGGTGCAGACCTCCCTCCTGAGGCTGCGCCTGCTCCCCTGCAGTGGCTGCCGCCCTCGCGGTGCTCGTACTCAGGGCGCTGCAGAGGTCGGAGGCCGCCCGTCCCCCTTGGAGCTCTCCCTGGCAGACGGTGTCCCTGTGCTGTGCCCATGTCTGGGGTTCTGTGATCCCGTGTCGACCTGTGGCCAGCTTTGCTCAAGTGAGGCACTCCTCCAGTACCCCTCCCCCCTCACGTGGGTGTCCCGCTTGGAACGTGCTCTGCTCAAAGGGAACTTGGGCCGAAAGTGTAATACTTCCATTTCATTATCTTTTAAAATGTTTATTATGTTTTTTAGAGAGATTTTTGCTATAGGGCACGTGCTCTCACTGGAGAGACAGAGTGACAGCCAGGCAGAAGTCACCCACTGGGGGATGGCCACACAGTTCCTTCCCCTTCATTCTCTCCTCTGGGTTTTGGGCACGCACACACATCCAGCCTGAGTTTCTAGCTGCTGGGGCTGGGACTGGAACTGCAGTCAGCCGTGTGGGAGTCCAGCGACATGGCTATTCCGCCATCTGCTGGTCCTGGTACTTCCGTTTTATAAGGAAAAGGCGCGCATAGTTTAGCGCACACGCACGTGTGTGTACATAGGCAGGTGCGGGGGGGGGGAGCTGCTGCTGCTCACCGGATGCCCAGCACCAGCCCACGCTGGACGGCCCCGGGTACTCCCGGTCAGCCGTGCTGAGCCCCTGAGGTGTGGACCCAGGTGGCACTGTGCCCCCTGTCCCTGTGTACTTGGGTGCGCGGGCTCTGTATGTGGCTCGAGGATGAGGCCATTTGGATGTAGTTTATGACATAAATAGCTGATTGCGTGAGGATTGGGACGCGGATCGACATCGAGCTCTTTCTGAGTGTGCGTGTGGGCGTCCTGGGGCGCACAGGGCCCCTGTCCTGTGCTGGTCGCACTTGGGGCATCCCGCGGCCCTGCCCACGCCGACTGCCGTCCGGGATGTGGGAGTACAGCGGGCTGCCGCGCTGTTGTTCTCCGAGCTCTGCCTGGCGGCACTGTGCTGGCACTGTGTGCAGAGGGGGTACTCGCTGGGCCCCATTACTTATTCTCAGAGCAAGAGAGCGCTTGCCCGGCCGGGGCTGCCGACTCCTCTGCGACATTTTAGAGCCCCCATGTGTCTGGGGTGTAGGCAGTCTACATTTGGTCAACAGTCTGTCATTGGCATTTTTTTTTCTTTCTTTTTTTTTTTAAACAATTGTTTATTTTAAATTTTATTTATTTATTTATTTTAATTTGACCAGAGAGAGCCACCGAGAGAGAGAGAGCGAGGAAGCAAGCCACCAGGTCCAGGACTTGAATCGTGGTCAGCCATGCGGGAATGTCCAGCACCTTACCCACCACGCCACCTGCTGGTCCCTGTCATTTGTATTTTCTCAGAAAATAGCTTTTGTAGGGAGTGGTTATTACATGTAATGAGGGGCAGATTTGGGGGCTGGGTCTCTGCCGGGAGGGGGTCTGCAGCATGGGTTGAGGTGCCCCATTTTCCATCTCAGCGACTTGGGGGCTCAGTGGCTGTCATCACTAGGGTTGGCTGTCAGCCCCCCATGGCGCAGACAGGTGCCCGTGTCCTGTGGAGTCTGACCCTGATTGGGGCCACCGTGGGCTCCTCGGTCCTAGACGGGCAGCAGGCTGACCCGGAGCCGAGCTGTGGTGCTGTTAGGGACTGGGTCCTTCTGAGGTGGGTGTCTTAGGTCATCTGACGTTAAATGTTTGGAAAAAGAATTGGTTTTGGGACAAGCAGATGGTGTAATGGCTATGTTGCGGGACTCCCATGTAGTTGCCCGCCGTTCGTGTCCCGGACCCAGTGGTTTAAACTCACGCCAGGCGCGTGTGCGTGCGTGCCCAAGATCCCAAGGAGAATGGAGGAGAAGGGATTGTGGCATGGCCAATACCCCGGGGTGGGGGGGGTGATTTCTCACTTTCTGTCTGTCTCTGTCTTTCTGGTGAGTGCATGTGCCCTCTAGCAAAACCTCTAAAAAGAAAAAAAAAAAAAAAAAAGAATTTTAGTCAGTCTGGCTGAAGATGGACGGCCGAAAGTCCTGCGCTGTCCCTGGGACCTGTGTTCTCGCCGGTCTCAGCGATGCCGCATTCTTTGTTCATGACTGTGGACGAGTGCGAATACGATTACTGAGCTTTTTGAGATGCCTTTTACTTTGAAAATGATTTCTCATCGTCCCCACTTTCACTTCATTAGGGCACTTTCCCTCATGGAATCGACATCCTGACCACAGCCGACTACTTTGCTGTCGGTAACAGATCTAACTGCTACCTGGTGATAAGGTAAGGTTTTCATGAGTCATGACAACGTCGCGGCCTCTGATTTAGATGTCAGAGATCCACTTCCACCCTTTCCTCAGCCCAGGAGGTCCGAGAGGTAAATATAGCTTGCCTAGGAGAGTTCCAGTGGGACCCGGGAGCAGTGTGGGAGTGTTGGGGAGGCGCCCCCACGACTGGCGACGCCAGAGCCCGAGAGCGCGAGCGCAGCCCTGCCCTGTGCGTCTGCCGTGGCCTCTTCGTGCGTCCAGCTCCGGCTCAGGCAGGTTTTCGGCCGTTGGTGGGGACGAAAACCACATGCCGGCCGCAAGAGGCCCTGCTGGAAGGCGTGACGGTATTGAGTTTCTCAGAGCAGACTCGGATAAAAATGACTGCATCGGGACCAGCAGTTAGCGTAGTGGCTATGTCTCTGGATTCCCACGTAGTCGACCGCGGTTCGTGTCCCGGATCCGGTGGCTTAAAACTCACGCCAGGCGCATGTGTGTGCGTGCCCAAGATCCCGAGAGGAGAATGGAGAAGGGATTGCGGCATGGCCATCCCCCCAGGGGGGTGATTTCTTGCTTTCTGTCTCTGTCTCTCTCTGTCTGGCGAGCACATGCGCCCTATAGCAAAAACCAAAAAGTATTTGGAGTGACCGGCAGATGGCATAATAGTTATTATGTTGCTGGATTCCCACATGGCCGACCACAGTTCAAGTCCTGGACCTGGTGGCTTAAACTCATGCCAGGCGCATGTGCGTATGTGCCCAAAATCCTGAGAGGAGAACGGAGAAGGGATTGCGGCGTGACCATCCCCCTGTGGGGTGATTTCTCGCTTTCTGTCTCCCTGTCTCTGTGTGTCTCTTCAACAAGTGCATGTGCCCTATAGCAAAACTCTCTCTTAAAAAAACATTTTGGGGACCAGCAGTTAGCGTAATAGCTATGTTGCTGGACTCCCATGTAGTCGACTGTGGTTTGAGTCCCGGACCTAGCGACTTAAACTCACACCAGGCGCGTGTGCATGCGTGCCCAAGATCCCGAGAGGAGAATGGAGGAGAAGGGATTGCGGCGTGGCTATCCCCCCTGGGGGGCGATTTCTTGCTTTCTGTCTCTATGTCTTGCTCTGTCTTTCTGGCGAGCACACGCGCCCTATAGCAAAAACCTCTCAAAAAAATTTTTTTTTTGGAAGTTGATAGATTTTTATGAGTAAGAAAGTGGTATTTGAGAAATCAGGTCACAGAATAAATACTGAGCATCGCTGACTGCAGCGTTCAGAGGTCGAACCAGGACTAAAGTTCTGGGCGAGCCCCTCCACTTGCTTAGTCAACCCACTGGGCGCGAGTGTGAGAAGCAGACGTGACGATGAAATGACGAACCCGTGTAGTTATGGAGACGTTCCCAGCGCCTCTCCCCAGCTGCTCTGCATTCTAAGGACAGGCTCCCCAGCAGACTGCCACGCAGCTGTCGCAGAAATGACATTTCCGTGTAACCAGCATGGACAGATTTTTAAAAGCACGCCACATTTGGGTTCTTTGTCAGGCAGAGTCTCTGAGCGAGCCTGCCACCTGTTCTAGTGTCCCTCGTCTTCCTCAGCATTCCCTGTGCCCTCGTGCCGTGCGGGTTCCCCAGTTCTCACGCCGTCCTCTCCGGATGCACGTCTCACGTAGAGCACACCTCCTCCCTGAGCTTCTGGGCACGGTGCCTTGGGAATTGCTTTAGCCCTGTCATACTTCATTTGTTGCCAAGGTTTCCAAACCACCCCAAAACCTACGAGTAATGAAAATACATGCTATAGGGCATGCGTGGTTGCCGGAGAGAGAGCGTGAGAAGCACCCCTCAAGGGTGGCCACTCCACCGTCCCTTTTCGTCCACCCTCCACGTACGCACACACACACGTGTTTTCAAGTCACCTGGTCTGCTATTTGAACCACCCATTTGGCTACGTGGGATCCAGCTACCTTAACCGCCATGCCACCAGAGGGACTTAGGTCCCTCTAAGTACTTTGCTGCAGTTTATAAAGACATTTAGCAAAACCCGACTTGGTTTTAGGCGTGCTCTTTCCGAAGTGTGTCGTGAGCGCTCACGATGCCAGGCTGCATTAGCAGCAGGTGTCCCGCGCGTGTGCGGTGCGTGACTCTGCTCTGGGCCACATGGTGCTCAGCTGGAGGTCCTCCCCTCCACCTGAGGCCAATGCCCAGGGTCCTGTTGTCAGCTCTGGCCTTGGGGGCGAGGAGGCAGGACTGTGCCCAGCTGGGTAGAGGGAACCCATGTGCCCAGGCAGCCTGGTGTGGAGGCCGAGCACAGACCAGAGGGGGCGCTCAGGAGTTAGCACAGCCAGCCCCGGGTGTGTGTGTGTGTCTCTGGGCTGGGGCGAGCATCTGGGTATCCTGAGCTGTGGGACACAGTGGGGCGGTCGATCCCGCATCGCAGTACCACTGCTCACTGTGGCTGGCCTGCTTTCCACGGTGGCTGTGTGATTTTGTATTTATACCGGAAATGTGTTCACGGTCAGCCTTCTCCACGTCCTTGCTGAAAGGTGGTATCTATCTTTGAACACTTTACTGATTCTAATGGATGGAGCAGTTTAAATCTGGACTCCCTGAGAAACACCGGTGTTGAACCCCTCTTCTCGTATACCGACTGGCCCTTTTTCTTTTTGCTGTGGGGTACATGCTCAAACTAGGGGGACAGTGGGAGCACACCCCAAGGCCTTTCCCCTGAGCCTTGCACTCCCCTCTCCTCCGTTTTCCTGTCGGGGTTTTGGGCGTGCACACTTTGGCATGTCTTTCAAGTTTCCAGGTCTGAAACTCCAGCTGTGCAGGTGGCCGAGTGGGATCCAGCTGTCGTAACCGTCACGCTGCCCGCCGGCTGCTATTGGCCTCTCATTTACATTCTTTCTATTTTTTAATAGATTTTTGCTGTGAGGGCATGTGCTTGCCAGAGAGAGAGAGACTTAGAGACAGAAAGTGAGAAACGTCCCCGTGGGGGGATGGCCACACTGCCATCCTTTCTCCTCTTTTCTCCTCTCGGGATCCTGCGCGCACATACATGCCCGGTTCCGGGACTCTAACTGCGGTCGACCACAGGAGAATCCAGTGACACAACTGTTGGGCCATCTTCTGCTCCCCCGATTTACTGACTTTTGTGATGTTTCTGTACAGATCTTGTGCCAGTTTTTTTGTCTTGTTTTGTTTTTTGAGAGATTTTTGGTATAGTGTGTGTGTACTCATTGGAGAGAAAGACAGACAGAAAGTGAGAAATCACCCCCCGGGGGATGGCCATGCCGCAGTCCCTTCTCCTGCATTCTCCTCTCGGGATCTTGGGCACGCACGCTCACCCAGCGTGAGTTTGAGCCACTGGGTCCAGGACTCAAACCACGGTTGACCATATGGGAGTCCAGCAACGTAACCATCACACCATCTGCTGGTCCCTCTTACGCCAATTTTTTAATTTGGTTTTTATCTTCTTTATTCTGATACAAATCTTTTGTCGTTTTTGTGTATTTCAAAGGTTTCTCCTCCCTTTACTCCATAGCTTGCCTTTTCACTTTCTTAAAAAGTTTGAAGCAATTGCGGTGTGATTGACGTGTATGAGCTGCCCGTAACACATGGTTTGTCCTGTCCAACATAGGTATAGCCATGAGACCACCGCTGTGGTGTATCTGTCACCTGGAGTCTCCCACTGCCCACCCCTTCCAAATCTCTGCCTTCCGTCTTTTTCTTAACCCAAGGCAACCACCAGTCTGCTTTTGTTAGTGTAGGTTAGTTGGCATTTTCTAGAATTTCGTATAAATATTTGCAAAATGTATAAATTTTGTAAGCTTACTTCTCTCTGGCTCTTCCACTAGCATAGTTATTTTGAGATTCAATCATGTTGCATGTGTCAAAAGTTTCTTTCTCGGGACCAGCAGTTGGCGTAATGGCTATGTCACTGACCTCCCATGTGGTCTACTGCGGTTCGAGTCCTGGACCCAGTGACTTCAGCTCACGCTAGGCGCGTGTGCATGTGTGCCCAAGATCCCAAGAAGAGGGAACCAGCAGATAGCGTAATGGCTATGTCACTGACCTCCCATGTGGTCTACTGCGGTTCGAGTCCTGGACCCAGTGACTTCAGCTCACGCTAGGCGCGTGTGCATGTGTGCCCAAGATCCCAAGAAGAGGGAACCAGCAGATAGCGTAATGGCTATGTCACTGACCTCCCATGTGGTCTACTGCGGTTCGAGTCCTGGACCCAGTGACTTCAGCTCACGCTAGGCGCGTGTGCATGTGTGCCCAAGATCCCAAGAAGAGGGAACCAGCAGATAGCGTAATGGCTATGTCGCTGGACTCCCACGTAGTCAACTGCGGTTCGCCTCCCGGACCCGGTGGCTTAGAACTCACACCGGGCGCGTGTGCGTGCGTGCCCAAGAGCCCGAGAGGAGAATGGAGGAGAAGGGATTGCGGCGTGACCATCCCCCCGGGGGGGTGATTTCTCGCTTTCTATCTCTATGTCTCTCTCCGTCTGTCTGGCGAGCGCACGCGCCCTATAGCGAAAACCTCTCCAAAAAAAAAATTTTTTTTCTTTAAGTTGCTGATGAATATTCCGTTGTTTGGAGAAATGCAGTTTTTCCTTTCACTGCTGGATAGACTTGGGATTGTCTCCAGTCTGGGGATGCTGCAAATACCACGTGCCACGTGAGCCAGACCCTGTGTGGGCAAGTGCGTCATTTCTAACTGGGTGAGCTTGACTGCACCATGTGGCGGCCATTGCTGACTTTTGAAGAAACAGCTAAACTGAATGTAATTTCTTACTCTTTTTTTCTTGTAGGTTTTTGCCGTAGGGCAAGTGCACTTATCAAAGAGACAGAGAGAGAGACAGTGAAAGGGAAAGTGAGAAGTCACTCCCCACAGGGAGATGGCTACGCAGCAGTCCTTGGGAATTGGGGCATGCAGTCACATATTCCCACCCTGATTTTCAAGCCACCAGGTTCGGGACTCAAACCGTGGTTGGTCATGTGAGAGTCCAACGCCTTAACTACCATACCACCTGCTGGCCTCATATTTTAGATTCCTTTCTTTTTTTTTTTTTTTTTGAAATTTTTAGAGAGATTTCTGGTATAGGGCACGTGCGTTCACTGGAGAGACAGAGACAGAGAGACAGAAAGTGAGAAATCACCCCCTGGGGGGACGTCCATACCGCAGTCCCCTGGGGGGATGAACATACCGCATTCCCTTCTGCCATCCTCCTCTCGGGATTTTGGGCACACATGCACATGTGCCCAGCTGAGTTTAAGCCGCTATGTCCAGGATTAGAGCCATGGTCGACTGGGAGTTCAGTGACGTAACCATTATGCCATCTGCTGGTCCCCACATTTTAGATTCTTTTTTTTTTTTTAAAGAGAGATTTTTGCTTTAGGGTACATGTACTTGTTGGAGAGACAGAAAGTGAGAAGTCACCCCCCAGGGGGCTGGCCATGCCACAGTCCCTTCTTCTCCATTTTCGTCTTGGGATTTTGGACAATCACATACATGCACTCTGTGAGTTTTAAACTGCGGGTCTGGGACTTGAACTGTGGTCGACTGTGGAGGTCCAGTGACGTAACCATTAACCATCTGCTTGTCCCTGTAGTTGAGACTCTCACAAGCAGCGTGTGAGCATTCTAGTCTCTGCACGTCATCCCTAACGCCTGTTGTCTTTTTCAGCGTGTTTATTGCTGGCTTTCCTGAGTACACCAAGCCCATGATAGACCACCTTGTTACTATGAAAATCAACCACTGGGATGGGTAGGTTCTGTGTTTCTGTGTGTGTTTGTAAGTGTTCTTCCTCCCCACAAAGGAGAGATTGAACCCTGAATGTGTGCACATGCTGATGGCAGGAAGAAATGGAAGGGAAAGGATTGGGGCATGACCATGCCCCATAGCGGGGTGCTTTCTCGCTCTCTGGCACGAACTTTGACCTCTGGCAATAAAAACAGCTTTTTACATAAAAAGTAAAAGCAAAATAGAGAGATTAAGTTAAAAAAAGAATAACGTGAAGCTCAAACCGTTAAACTAACTCCCCACTCCACTTCGCTGGTGGGCACCACCATTCTACTTCCCATCCCCGTGAATTGGACTCTGGGAACTTGGCGTTCGTGTACTCATACGATGTCTGTCATTTTGTGTGTGGCTTATTTCACTGACACTGTCCTTAAGGTTCATCCAGATTGTAGTGTCTGTCAGAATCCCCTTTCCTCTCGACGTGATAACACTCCTTTGTGTGTACACGCCAACGGCCACACTCTGCTTATCAGTCTATCCTTTAATAGGCCCTGACGGCTTCCACCTCTCAGCTAGCATGACCACTGCTACTAGGAGCGCGAGTGAGCAAGTAACTGACACCCTGCTTTCAACTCATGGGGGTAAATAGAAATGGAATTGCTGAGTCAGTGCTTAGAGCAGCGACTCTAATCTCAGATTTGTATGTGGAATGCTGTCCCGTTTCCTACGATGCTGGCACCACCTTGCACTTCCACCAACAGAGGAAGAGTTCCCAGTTTTTTTACATCCTCGCCAACACTTGTTATTTCCTGTTTTATTTTTGTCTGTTTTAAGAATGATTTATTTAATTCCATTTGTTATTATTATGATTTTGTAATTTGAGCAGAGAGAGAGAGTGGAAGGGAAAGCAAGAAAGGAAATCGCCAGGTCAAGGACTTGCACTGTGCTCGGTGTCTGAGAGTCCAGCACCTTAACTGCCGTGCCACCCGCCAGTCCCGTTTCCATGCTTTGATAAGAGCCCCTAGTGAGTGTGGGTTGGGGTGCGCTGTGGCTTTGATGCGTCTCCGTAAGAGTCAGTGATGCCGAGCTCCCTCTCATACTCCTACTGGTCGTTTGCGTGTCATGTCGACAGAAACGACAGGTTGGATCTTTGCTCTTTGCGCTTTTTTTTTTTTTTTTTGGAGAGGTTTTTTTGCTATAGGGTGCGTGCACTCGCCAGCCAGCCAGAGACAGAGACACAGAAAGGGAGAAATCACCCCCCCAGGGGGGATGGCCACGCCGCAATCCCTTCTCCTCCATTCTCCTCTCGGGATCTTGGGCACTCACGCACACGCGCCCGGCGTGAGTTTTAAGCCACTGGGTCCGGGACTCAAACCGCAGGCGACTACGTGGGAGTCCAGCAGCATAGCCATTACGCTAACTGCTGGTTCCCGGATCTTTGCATTTTTAAATTGAGTTATTTGTTTTTTTTTTTGTTGCTGTGTAGGGGTTCTTTATATAGTCTAGATACATATATATATATTTTTTTTTTTTTGAGAGATTTTTGCTATAGGGCATGTGCACTTGCCAGAAAGACAGAGAGAGACAGAAAGCGAGAAAACACTCCCCAGGGGGGATGGCCACGCCACAATCCCTTCTCTTCCATTCTCCTCTCGGGATCTTGGGCACGCACGCACACGCGCCCGGCGTGAGTTTAAGCCACCGAGTCCGGGACTCAAACTGCGGTCGACTACGTGGGAGTCCAGCGACATAGTCACTATGTCAACTGCTGGTCCCTATATTCCAGATATTAATCCTTTATGAGATACATGATTTGCAAATATTTTCTCTCATTCCATAGGTTGTTTTTGTCTCTGTTGATTATGTCCTTTGATGCATAGGTCTTTTTTTTTTTTTTTTTTTGAGAGAGATTTTTGCTGCAGGGCAAATGCGCTCACTGGAGAGACAGAAAACGAGAAATCGATTTCATGTGCCCAGCGTGAGTTTTAAGCCACTGGGTCTGGGACTTGAACTGCAGTTGACTATGTGGGAGTCTGGCAATGTAACCATGTACCATCAGCTGGTCCCAGCATGGCTCTTCATGTTCATGCAGTTTAGTCTTATTTCTCTCGGCTGTGCTTTTGGTGTCAAGTTTAAGAGGAGTTGCTAAATGCAGTGTCGTGAAGTTTTCGCCCTGTTCTCTTCTAGGAGCTCATGGCTCCAAGTCTTGTGTTTATTCGGTAACTAATAACATTTTAAACTGGGGTCCAGGGCTCCTGCCTCAGCCTCCCTGCTGGGGCTACACTGCACCCAGCCTTCAGCTTGAGTCTGGGATTGAACTGGGCACCTCACATAGCTCCAGCCTGTGGGACAAAGCTTCTTGCAGCATGCGCCTCCATTGTAATTTTCTAAAAAAGTCTTCAGTTTGCCAAGGACACATGCACTTGCTGAAGAGAGACGGAGTGAGAAAGCACCCCCCACAGGCGATGGCTGCACCCCGATGTGTTATTATTTTGCCCTCTTTTTGGGACTTTGGGGTGTGTTTTTCAAGCCACCAGTCCAGGACGGGAGCCATGCTGTCGGCTATGTCAGATCTAGTCCCCAGCAGCTGGCCCCGATGTAGCGCTTTAAATAAAGAAGCTCTGCTTCTCGGAGCACTGGTTGAGGAGCTGCCTGTGAGGGTAGGTGCCCGCGAGGCCGTCCTCTGCCGCGGGAGCCTCTGCTCGTCCTGCATTGTAGGTGGGCTCCTGAGAACTGACAGCTCTCGAGGACTGCAGGGCACTAGAGCCACTGCTCCTGAGCTGCCACGGATGCTCAGTGTCCGGGCACGTGAGATGCCACCTGCCCGAAGGGCCTCTGTTTGTTGCTGGGGCAGGGTCTGGGGTTAAGAAGTCGGGGCCCAGGGCCTCGTTCGCCCGTCCCTGGGCTTCCCCCACAAGTCTGCATGTGCCAGGTGCTCTCCGTAGCATGTCGGGGGTGTGGAAGAGATACTTCTGTACTGTTGGGTCAAGAAAGCCATGACAGGGACCAGCAGTTGGCATAATGGCTATGTTGCTGGACTCCCATGTAGCCGACCACAGTTCTAGTCCCGGACCCCGCGGCTTAAACTCATGCCTGGTACGTGTGCGTGCATGCCCAAGAGAGGAGAATGGAGGAGAAGGGATTGCAGCATGGCCATCCCCCCTGGGGGGTGATTTCTTGCTTTCTGTATCTGTCTGTCTCTGTCTTTCTGGTGAGTGCACGCGCCCTGTAGCAAAAACTTCTCCAAAAAAACAGCAAGCCATGCCATGTTTCCTATGTAAGGTGTGCCATGACTGCCCTGACAGCCAGAGAGGGCGTGTCTCGTGGTTGTTAGCTTGAGCCCTAGACATTCATTATTTTATTATTTTGTAGAGGTGTTTGCCTTAGAGCATGTGTGCTCGCCAGAGAGAGAGAGACAGAGACAGAGACAGTGAGGGAGAGTGAGAAACGACCCTAGGGTGATGACCACACCACAATCCCTTCTCCTCCATTCTTCTTCTGGGGTCCTGAGCACGCATACACACACACACACACACACACACACACACACACACACACACACGGCTTGTTGCAAGCCACGGGGTCCGGGACCATGGCCGGCCATGTGAGTCCAGGGACGTAACTGCTACGCCATCTGCTGGCCCCAGCTGTAGGAAATTTCTCACATCCAACCTTTGTAATCTTAGGGTCTCAAGGTCACATGGTTCTGCTAAGAGTGTGTCTTCTGAGGGACGCGTTAGTGTGGTGGGAGGATCACTGGGCCGTGCAGCACCGTGGGAAATGGTTGCAGTGTCTCGAGGACACGTGGGCTATTTCCAAATGTTTCCTTCAGTGAACTTGTTGCACGCACACGTGTGTGTGTGTGTGTGTGTGTGTGTGTGTGTCTGTGTGCGCGTGGTCTTGACTGGCTGGCCAGCTGAGGGCCCACGCAGGCTGCTTTCCCTCCTCCGTTAGTTGCACAGCGCGCCGGCACAGTGAGGCACTGACCGCTGTCTGTCTTCCCCAGGGCCATCAGAGAGCTGTCGGCCAAGGCACTGCACAACCTGACCCAGCAAGCACCCGACTACAGCGCCACTCACGGTGGGTGTGTGCCCGCGCCTGTAGGCGGTGTCAGGCGTGCATGGCATCGCGCACGCATCGCAGGCAGACCCAGGTGGGCTGTCCTGCTCGTCCCAGAGGCCGGGGGACTGGAACAGTGTTTTGTTTTTGACTCGCTGAAACTCGTCTATAGAGCTGGCTGTGGGCTTCACCCGGGCCAGGTGCAGAGTGGGGTCTGCCCGGGTGCCACCCACAGCAGGGGACCACGAATCAAACTGTGGTGAGCCATAGGACACTGCGCTGACCGCGTCCCCGTGCGGCAGCTCTGGTCTGGCTGACGTCTGTGGGGTGTGCCTGTTCTCAGAGGCAGCGGCGCCTCCGTGTCGTTCAGAGTGGAGTGGCTCCGTCTGCCCTCCCGTGCTGGGGGTGGGGGGGCCACATCTGCCCTCCCAGTCTACGTAGGCAGAAGAAGCGTCTCTCAGATGCAGGGAAGGGGCCGGACGTCCAGAGCTGCATCTGTTCTCACTGGCGTGTCCCGCGGTGGCGAGGCTGGAGGCTGCACCTGGCTCTGCCCAGGCCGATTGTCCCGAGCATCGACTTAGTGCACGGGGTGGGGGGTGTTGTCTACCCCGAGGGCCTTTGGCTTTAACCGGTGCAGGGAGGCTGGCGTGGGGAGCCAGGCCACTTACATTGGAGTGACTTGGGCCAGCCTCGTCCTTCACACTGGTCAGCGTTGTGCCCGTCCGTGAGCCGTGACCGGTGTAGACACCCTGTCCTCAGCCCTGCCCCAGCTGCCAGCTGCCGAGCACCCGTACAAGCTCCCTCGGGTCGGGCGTGGCTGGCTTTACTGTCACGGGGCTGCTGCCTCTGCGGGTGCGCGGGGTTGAGGCTTGGGAGCTGGGCTGGCCGGGCCGTGGGCAGCACCTCCCAAGCAGAGCCCTCACTGGCCAGCTCGGCCACCACTGGCAGCCCTTGTCCCGCTGCCTCCATGGGTCTTGGAGGAGCTCTGCGAGCCGAGGCCCGAGCCCGATGGTGACCAGTGTGCTCGCTGAGGCTGACAGGCTGGCCTTGCTGCCCTCCCGCAGTTCTCCCACGTCTGCTGTCCATGACGCTGAGCCCGGACCTCCACACGCGGCATGGTGCCATTCTTGCCTGTGCAGAGGTCACCCACGCCTTGTATAGACTGGCGGCCCAGGAGGACAGGTAGGAGCCCGGCCAGCAGCCACTGTGTTGTGGCCACTGTAGCCGAGGGGCGGGAGGCCGTGGGAGAGGCCGTCTAGGGCGGTGCTGAGGTGCATGCTCTCTGAAACTGAAAACACCAAGGTGCGAGTGTAGACGCCCCCACTGGCTGCTCTGTGACAGCGGAGCCGTTGTGTGGGTGGCTTGAGAAGCCCAGGAGTTCTGTAGAGGAGTGAGTGGTGTCTGTCGGCTTTCCCGAGAAGTGGGAACTTGCAGACACGGCCGTCTGCGGCCCGGTTCCTGGATCCAGCCTGAGAAAGCGGCCCGACCCGGCTCCCTGGAGCAACGCGACGGCGCAGCGCTGTGGGCCGGGCAGGCTCCGGGGCACACAGTCCTGCGTTGGGGACACACCTGAGTACGTGGGCACTTGCAGGCCGAAGCAGAGCCCGGCGTGGTGTGCTTGCTCTTTGGTCCTGGGAAGAGGCTCGTGGCGAAATCGGGGGGAGTCCGGCTCAAGCCTCCAGAGTCTTCTCCCGGTCAGGTCATGCGGGGTCCGCAGGACCCCCAGCTTTAAGCCATGATGTACATGGAAGCATCCTGTCCTGGGGAGGCATGCTGAGACCCGTGCCAGGTGCGTGTTGAAGCCCCCATCTGACCCCAGGAGCACGAGTGCCCAGTGTCAGCCATAGCTGAGCACTGTCTGGGGCCACAAGGCTCCCTTAGCAGCTCAACATGGCGGCAGAGCCGCTGGGACCCGGGCCTGTGGCCAAGGCAGCTCACCCGCACCTTTCGAGGATGACGGGCTGCCAGGGAGCACTTCTCAGCCCCACCGGCATCAGCTCTCCCGTCACGCCGGCAGGCAGTTGTGCCCCACACGGTCGAGGGCCACCTGTCGTCAGCACACTGACGGGAGGTTCCGTGGCAGCGCCCTGACGGCGGTGCCCTCTGACCTGAGGAAGAGGCGACTGAGCTGCCGGGCTGACGCCTGGTGGGACCGCCCCACGCTGTGGGCCAAGGACGTGGGTCCATGTCCGCGTCACACAGGGACTCACCTAAAGGGACAGGGCAGTTTCCCCAGACTGGAACCCAGGAGCCAGGCTGCCCCTAAGATGTGAGATCGGGCTATGCCCTGCAGGGGCTGCGGGGCCCACAGGGACCTGGACACAGGCAGGGCTCCCTGACTCACCTGCTGCGGTTGTGCGGGACCGCTCGGCCTGGGCCTCAGTGCGGTGTTCCAACTCCTCACAGGCCGGTCACGGACTACCTGGACGAGAAGGAGGTGCAGGGCCTGAAGCAGATTCAGCCGCAGGTGCGTGTGCAGCCCCCCGGTGACCCTTCACAGGGTGCCCCAGGCCTCCTGGTCTCTGCACCTTCCCAGCCCTTCCATCGTCACACTGTCACCCTGCGGGGTGGTGGGGTGGCCCAGGAAAGCACTGCTCCCTCTCTGGGGGCCACTCCCGCGGTCGGCCACCTGGGGTAGCTGGGCGGGGGTGGGCAGGTGTGCTGGGCCACCATGTCCCCACAAGGTGCGCCACGTGGGCTTGTGCAGCCGGTGAGGCGGACGGCGTGCCGTGCCGTGCCGTGCCTGCCAGGCTGGCTCTGGGCATTGCACACCGCCTTCGTGGAGGTCACGTGTCCTCATGGAGGCGGTGGCGCGAGCGTGTGGCCCCCGATTTCCCGCTGTGTCCACGGTGAGGGTCGTGTGCGCTGAAGCCCAGTCCAGAATTGTGTGAGTACATGTTTCCTGGGAGACGGTGTGCGCTTTGTTCTGGGCTTTCGCGATTCTCCAAGGCCTCTGTGACTCAGTGACGGGGCATTGTCAGCGTCACTCGTGGGGAGTTAGCCTTTTACTCCCGACAGCCTCTTCCCGGCAAGGACCTCCAGGGCCATTCGAGGGAGATCTGTCTCTTCACTAACGATAGGCCGTTCTGATCTCCGGCCCTTAATCCTGTTTTTGCCACAAACTTGCTTTTTGATTTTGGCAAAGTTGTTTACTTGCTTATGGGGTGTGCGCACTTGCCAGAGAGACAGACAGACAGAAAGCAAGAAATCCCCCGCAAAGGCGGGTGGCCCCACTGCAATCCCTTCTCCATTCTCCTCTCAGGATCTTGGGCACGCCCGTATGCACACACACATGATGTGAGTTTTAAGCCACCAGGTCTGGGACTCGAACCACAGTCGACTATGTGGGAGTCCAATGACGTAGCCATCACTCCATCTGCTGGTTCCCACACCAGTGGATTTTAGCTGCACAGGTCACACGGGGCCGTGCACACTTCTGAGCTCCTTCGAAGAACAGGGAGCGTCAGAACCTCTTGGGCTCGGCGAGGTTCCCGCCCGAGAAGAAGCTGTCTTGAGAGAGTGTGCCGGACTGCGGGCCAGGGCACAGCCCTGTCCTGGCCTGTCCTCGGTCCTGCCGTGGGATTGGACGGGGTTGAGGGTCGAGACAACCTAAACGAGGACTCAGCAGAGAGTGGCCTCTGTCCTCGGCCCCTCCAGTCGGCTCCGCGCTGTTGGGCTGTGCTGTTTTCTCGTTCTAGTTTTGATACTTGTTCACATTATATAACGTGTTCTTTTTTTGGGCGGGGGGGTTTCCAGTAAGCACAGGTCACACGGGGCCGTGCACACTTCTGAGCTCCTTCGAAGAACAGGGAGCGTCAGAACCTCTTGGGCTCGGCGAGGTTCCCGCCCGAGAAGAAGCTGTCTTGAGAGAGTGTGCCGGACTGCGGGCCAGGGCACAGCCCTGTCCTGGCCTGTCCTCGGTCCTGCCGTGGGATTGGACGGGGTTGAGGGTCGAGACAACCTAAACGAGGACTCAGCAGAGAGTGGCCTCTGTCCTCGGCCCCTCCAGTCGGCTCCGCGCTGTTGGGCTGTGCTGTTTTCTCGTTCTAGTTTTGATACTTGTTCACATTATATAACGTGTTCTTTTTTTGGGTGGGGGGGTTTCCAGTAAAAACCAGAAAACCTGCTAGACAAATTCTAAATGAGCTGTAACAGTATATAATGTGTTTTAAAAATTTAAGTCACTTAAATACCTAAGTAACCGATGACTCTTTATTCTCAGCTCTGTGACCGTCAGGCGTACAGGTAAGCTTCACAAACCTCAGTCCCGTGTTCTGTGTCGTAACAAAAAAGCGTGTCGTCAGGAGGAGCTGGCCAGTGTGCGGACGCTCCGGAGCGCCTGAGTCGGGCCCGTGCTCGCCGTGTGCTCCTGTGTCTGCGTGTCCGCGTGAGTGTCATGGGCACACGGCTGGTGTTCCAGGGCACGGGGCGCTCTCGCTGCTGTTCCTGGGCTTCGTGGACGTTCCCCCGACACGTGATAACGTGTACTCTTTAACGTGTCTGCTGGCTCCACACCCGGGCTTGAGGGAGCCATCACTCCGAACACCTTCTCAGGACCCTTTGCAGCTGGCCCTTCTCCGTGCGCCACCCCTGCTCCGGACCCCCACGCCCTGAATGGAGTAAACCCCTCTCACAGGTCGCCCAGGTTCGCTATGTTCTGTTCAGCAGCAGAGCAGGCTGGCCTCCGCTCCAGGTAGCACAGCTGGGCCTCCAAGGCCGGGTCGGGGCCTGGGAGAACAGTCGGCCAACTGGCCGAAGGGGCCGCACTTCATGGCCTGCCTGTGTGGCCCCCAACCACAGCTGGACCTCCAAGAGCAGGGCAGGCAGGAGCCCACGGGAGGCCCTGAGACCCAGACCAGCGAGAGCCCAAGGGGCAGGAGGCAGATCTGTGGTCCGACCCTGCCGGCCCGCGGCCCTGCCTGTGTTCTAAGTGAGCCTCTGGCCTCGCTCAGCCACCCAGGTGTGGCACTGTCTATCTGGCTGGTTCTGTGTCTTCCAGTTGCTCCACACTGGAGCATTGCCTGGGAGGTACCCAGCAGCAGCCAGCTCGGGTACTGTGGGCCCCCCTCTCGGCCTCACCCCCTCACCTTGCAGCCTCCCGGAGGCTGAGGCCTTGGCCCGACCTCCTCCCAGAGCCCTGCCTTTCAGCACCAGTTGGCTACGCTTCTACCCCCTTCCTCCTGTTGCAGCCCAGGCTCAGCCCTTGAGTTCTGTGGGGCTCAGGTACTGCGGCCTGGACGAGCTGGCTGGTGCCACTGTACAGTGACCTGCAGGTGCAGTTGTGCTGACACCCTGACCGCTCTGGCAGCTGGGGGTGCCATGGTTCGAGGTACGGACAAGCGGGGCCTGGCCAGGCTGACATGCTGGAAACAGCGGGTTCTCCAAGCTAGACGGTGCCCAGAGCCCTGATGCCTGGTGGCCTCATTGCTGTGCCAGCCATGGCCGATGTCAGCACCCTGCCTGGCCCAGCGTAGGAGCTTCTGGGCCTAGGGGGTAGCCATCTCTTGTGGGGCCCTCGAGGAGGGCTTCCTGGGAGACGGGGTAGCAGGAACCGCTTCTCTCTGACCCCAGCTTGCTGTCTCGCGAAGCCGCGAGCCTGGAGGAAGCGAAGGCTGCGGGCCAGTGCCCGGCCCATGGCTGCTGGCGTCCTGGCCGTGAGCCGTCCCTGCGGCCGCCCTCTCTTCCCGCGTGTCTGTTGGTTTCTTTTTGCCAAATCATGGTCATCAGAGAACGGGGTGCCCTACGTGCTGTAACTGGGGGGTGGCAGTGATGCCACCTACATGGGAGTCCAGCAACATAGCCATTAGGCTAACTGCTCCCTGTATAAAACCTTATTTAAAAAATTATTTAATTTTATTCATTCATTTATTTTAAGCCCAGGGCCGAGCCCAGTGCCGTCCGACCCCTGGCTCCATATTCCACGTGTCCCCAGCTCCTGTGCTGTTGGTCCTTTAGTCCTGGGGTGGTGCTTTAGTCAGGCCAGCAGCCCTGTGCCGTGTCGCGCTGCCCGACCCGCCGGGTCGCTTCCTCCTGGTCAGACGTAGCAGGGACATGGCATGGTGGCCTCCTGTCCTGTGCTGGGCCTAAGGGTCAGCGACCCCCAGATGGCCGGCTGTACTGATTGGTTGGTGCCCCTCGGTGAGCGAGTGCCTTGTGGCGGAGCATCTGGGGATGTGCAAACGCCTCTCCTTGTGGGGTGGCCATTATGCTGGGGTCGGGTGTGCACCCCGGCGACTGATGTTGGTGTTGTCCAGTATGAGCTGGGTTTGTGGAGGGCGGCTTTTCCTGCCTCCTGGGCACTGCCGTCCCAACTGCCGCACCACTCACTGCGTGCTGCTCCTGGAGTGCCTGCCTCTCCCGCTCACACCGTAGCCCTGAGCCCACCCAGGCTTTGAGTGACAGTCCCTTAATTTCCTAGTGGCACTATTGACTTACAAAAATTAAAATACATGTATAAAACCTTATTTTAAAAAATTTTTTAGAGGTTTTTGCTATAGGGCACATGCACTCGCCAGAAAGAAAGAGAGAGACAGAGAGACAGACAGAAAGCGAGAAATCACCCCCCAGGGGGGATGACCACGCCGCAATCCCTTCTCCTCCATTCTCCTCTCTGGATCTTGGGCACGCACGCACACGCCCAGCATGAATTTAAGCCACCGGGTCCAGGACTTGAACCGCGGTCAACTACATGGGAGTCCAGCAACATAGCCATTAGGCTAACTGCTGGTCCCTGTATAAAACCTTATTTAAAAAATTATTTAATTTTATTCATTCATTTATTTTAATTTGACCAGAGAGAAAGTGAGAAAACAAGTCACCGGGTCTAGGACCCGAACCATGGTTGACCGTGTGGGAGTGTCCAGCACCTTAACCACCAGGCCACACGTATAAAATCTTTACACATCTGCCGACTGCTGCAGGAGAGACTTCTGTGACCCAGGGAGGAGCCGTGGCTTTGTCTGGAGGACATCTGCTTGCAGCGCCCATGGGGTCCGTGGCAGTCTGACAGGGTCGGGAGATGGGCGTCCCGGCCGAGGCGCCCAGGGGCGAGGTCTGAGTCATGGGTCCTGCTGGGATCGCTGAACGCGAGTGTGCTCATGCGAGTCAGGCGTGTCCTGAATGCCCTCCTGGGTCAGACTAACTTTCCAGCAGGGCAGCTGGCGGCCCGAGGGTCGGGAAGGTGTGCGAGCCCCAGGCAGCCGCCCCGGGGGAGCGCGGGCCTCAGGGTCACTCCCGTCTAAGCACGGGCCGTGCAGAAGCGGGCCTTTCACTCTGCTCCTGGCCCACACACTGCTATTTTACAGGGTCATTTGAAGTGTGCTGTTTGCGGGGGTGCCCTGGATGGGCCTGGGCACACTGCCAGCCTCCCGGGCAGCCTGGGCCTCAGGTATGCGAGCCACACTCGGCAGGTCGCCCAGGGGCTGATCGGGGTGCGCCGCCCTGGCAGGGCTCTGCGCTGTGCCCCACAGCCGTGCTGTGGGTTTTTAAGAGTAATGTATGTGTAATAAAATTCAGTTTCACAACTGTCTACTTGTACGCTCACCAGAGAGAGACAGAGAGACAGGGAGAGGGAGAAAGCACCCCAGTGGGGGCATGCCTCAGTCCCGTCTCCATTTTTCCACCATGTTGGGATTTGGGGCATGCATGCACTCCTTCCCCGCGTGTTTCTCAAGCCACGCCAGTTGGGCTGAACGGTGATTGGCCGCGCGGAACCCAGTTCCCTTAACCTGAGCAGTGATTGGCCGTGCGGAACCCAGTTCCCTTAACCTGAGCAGTGATTGGCCGTGCGGAACCCAATTCCCTTAACCTGAGCAGTGATTGGCCGTGCAGAACCCAGTTCCCTTAACCACTAGGCATGAGGTCAGCCCAGAGTTCAGCCACTTGGAGAGTACAGTCGGATGAGGTTTACCAGGTGTGTGTGGTCTTATGACCGTCACCGCGACTGTGACGGACGCGTGCCCACTGCCTTCGCAGTCGGTGCCAACCCCCATGTAGCTCCCGGCACCACTGCCCTGCTCTGCGGCCCAGTCTCCCGTCTTACTCCCCCCGGACAGCGCTTGTATGTTGCCAGGAGCTTCCTTGGGTTTCTCGCCAAGTCCGTGGCTCTTCCTGCTTCGCTGGGATGGCCAGGACCACGCGATCATCAGGGCCACTTCGAAGCCTTCTGTGGCGGGCCCAGAATGCCTGCCCCACTGAGGCAGCTCCTTCAGAGGACTGCCAGGGCCCGTGTGTGGTCAGGCCCCTCTGCCCCAGCTGGGAGGGCTCCGAGCAGTGAGCCCTGACTTCTGTCTCCACATGTCCCCACTGGAGTGCTCTGCCAGCCCCAGGCGCCGGGCCCCATTCTCACCCTGCTCTGCAGTGGGCACCACCTCCCCGGGCTGGAGGTGCTGGATGCCCCTCCTGCCCAGGCCACCGCCCTGCACCCCAGTCTCCCAGCGCCCGGTGCAGTTTCTCGCCACTCGGGCCGGAACCACGTCCAGGCCTGCTGTTCTGTATGGGCCAGAAGCCGAAGCCCTGGCAGCACGTTGCCTGCCCCCTTGGCATCCCTGCCCCCAGGCGCCTGTTGCAGCGTCAGACTTCGGCCGGCGTCCGGGCGCGTTCCACTCAGCATAGAAGCCAGCTCGCGTCTCGGGCTGTGGCGTCAGATCGCTTCGCTGCGTCCGAAGCGGGACTGGCGCTGTCTGGAGTTGGGTCTGTGTCGGTGTGGACGTCTGTTAGAGCTGAAGCCAGAGTCGCCAGTCAGGACTGGGAGATGTCTCTCACACACGTGCATCTCTCCGTAAAAGCATCGTCTGTGCTTTGAGGAACAAGTGCAGCCAGTTGGCACCGACACCTGTCGGAGCCCGAAGTCCCATCTGTTACCTCGGTGAGGTGTGCATGTTGTTGCCATGCGAGAGACTTTAACTCTGCTTTCGTTCATTTCAGGGGCCTGGGAGGCGAGCTCATGCGACAAGCAGGTAGGTGGGAAGCGGAGGACACAGCCCTCGTCCAGCCGAGGAGGGGGGGCGTCCCGCAGTGTCACACAGTCCTTCCATCACACGGGTCCCGGGTTAGCTCGCACTCAGGGAGACAGCGGAGCCCGGCCCGCCTGGGGGGCTTCACTGCTGCCCCTCCAGCCCGCGTGGGTGCCGGTAGATTTCCGCAGCGGTGGGGCGGCAGGGGAGCCACGGCTGCTAGGTGGGAGGAGCCGGGGTGCACCTCGGTGACTCCCTCTGCGGTATGAGGTGGAGGTACAGCGGTCACCCCATGGACAGGCTGAGAGAGCTCAGGTCTCGCCGCGCACACGGGGCTCTGCTTCCTGCCTGTTGAGCGCACCTCTAGGCACCCCAGGGTGCAGCGCTTCTCTGGGCGTTCCCGGTGATGGGGGCGGCATCATGTGAAGGACCTCGCCCTGCTGTGCCCTGCCTGCTGATGAGTGTCTTAGCTGGAGGGTTGGTCAGAGTTGCCTTGTCTGTTCCTTCTGTAGCGAAATCTTAATTTTGGAGTCTTCCTACCCGTGGGGAGTTATGGGTTAGGGACAGCAGGCATCTGGCCCCAGGGCATCAGCAGACGCGATGGTGCCGTATCCAGGCCCCTGCCCTGCGGTCTCATTCAGGTCCGCCGTTGGCACAGGTGGGTGCGGGCCTGGGGGCCTGTGTGTCACGTGCACCTGCGCCAGTGTGTACACTTGACACCCCGAGTCTGCGCCCTGGTCCCCTGGTCTTCTTCCCTGCAGTGTCCTCACTCGAGGTTGCTGTGTGGATGGAGTTGGGACACGTGGCCCTCCGAGGTGCAACCCCGGCATCACTCGCCCGAGAGCTTTCTAGCTCACTCACGGCCGTTCTTCCTCACTCCCTCTCCCCTGGGGTCGGGGTTTATCAGTGTGTCTGACCACTCACCTGTTAAAAGCCACTTGGGGTTTTTTTGGGTCTCACTGGCAGGGATATCTGCACGCAGGTTCTTGTGTGAGTATACCTTTTCTTTCCTTTAGAGAGAGTTTTTTTGCTGTAGGGCGCATGTGATAGCCAGAGAGACAGAGACAGAAAGTGACAAATCACCCTGTAGTGGGGGATGGCCACGCCGCAATCCCTTCTCCTCTATTCTCCTCTTGGGATCTCAGGCACGCACGCACACGCGCCTGGCGTGAGGTTTAAGCGACCACATCCGGGACTCAAACCACAGCTGACTACGTGGGAGTCCAGCGACACAGCCATCGCACTGTCTGCCCGCCCTTTTCTCCTCTCTGGGTTCAGTGACTAAGAGTTCCCTTGCGGAGTCTCCTGCTGTGAGAAACCGCTGAGCTCTCCATTTCACGTCTAACAAGCGGGCCCCGAGAGCCCCTCTCTCCATGACCCTCTGCGGGTTTGTGGGCACTTACAGAGAGGGAGAGACAGACAGAGGCGGGGCGTGGCATGCTCGCGCCGCAGTCCCTCCGTCTCCCCGTCCTGTTGGGTCTGGGGCACACGCACATTTTCTTGTGTCTCTCGCACCGCTGAGGCCTGGATGGGAGCCGCACAGTCAGCCATGTGGGAGTCGGCTCCTGTAGCCCCAGCATGGAGCCAGCCCGTCCTCCATGGACATCCGCCGTGTGCTGAGGCTCCACGGCGGTGTGGTGCACTGCACGTCCCTGATGGCTGACGTCGGGCAGCTTTCCATGTGTTTTTCTTTTTTCTTTTTTTTTTTCTTTTTTGGTATGGGGCATGTGCGCTCGCCAGACAGACAGAGGGACAGAGAAACAGAAAGCGAGAAATCACCCCCCGGGGGGATGGCTACGCTGCAATCCCTTCTCCTCCATTCTCCTCTCGGGATCTTGGGCACGCACGTACATGCGCCTGGCGTGAGTTTTAAGCCACCGGGTCCGGGACACGAACCGCAGTTGACTATGTGGGAGTCCAGCGACATAGCCATTACGCTAACCGCTGGTCTCAGCTTTCCATGTTTCTTTCCTTTTGTTCCTTTTCCATCTGATAAAATGTGTTGAAGTCTGTATGCAGGGCCAGTCTCCAAGCGGTTATTTTATTTTAATTAATTAATTAATTAATTAATCTTGGAGAGGTTTTTGCTATGGGGCGTGTGCACTTGCCAGAGAGACAGAGAGACAGAAAGTGAGAAATCACCCCCCAGGAGGGATGGCCACGCCGCAATCCCTTCTCCTCCATTCTCCTCTCGGGATCTTGGGCACGCACGTACATGCGCCTGGCGTGAGTTTTAAGCCACCGGGTCCGGGACACGAACCGCAGTTGACTATGTGGGAGTCCAGCGACATAGCCATTACGCTAACTGCTGGTCCCAAGGTGGCTATTTTAAATCATGGTGAGGACTTGCATGTTTAGCCCCTAGGACGTGTGCTAGAACTCCTCTTTCCACAGAGTGGTCGTTGTTTAGGAGCAGGAAAGCAGGTTGGTAGAACGGAAATCGCAAATCTAGAAATCCATCTAGGTACAACACAGAAGGTGTCTCTAGCCTGGTGACAAGGATAGCGTACTGAATGATGGTGCCACTGACAGCCACGTGAGGAGGGCGAGGTTGCATTCACCAGAGGAGGGCAGTGCTGCAGCCACAGTGTCACCCTCAGTGTCTGAGCAGACGAGTCACTAACGTGGCAGGACACAGGACGGCCACTGTGGTCCTCGTCTCAGCCCAGTGGAGGCGATGCTCAAGAGGAGCCGCGAGGGGCCGCGGGCAGAGTGGGAGCCCGCGTCTGTCTGAGGTTGGCAGCTGCTGTTCCTGTGCGATATGGCGAGGGCAAGGGAGGCTGCTGTCAGCCCTGCGTTTCAAGGGTGTCTGTTACTGCAGTGTAATAGCCCAGCCACTGACGGGCTCCACTACAGCGGAAACGGCAACACTGCCACCTCAGGCCCACCCTCTGTCCCGGGACTCGGCGTGGGGAAGCCAGATGACAGAGTCAGCTGGTGGGCCACACATTGGTGCCCCGGGGCACCCAGTGGGGCTTGGCCCCCTTGCCCTTTGCTCCGAGGGCCTCTACCTGGGGTCCCGTCAGGCTCCCCACCCAGGGTCCTCCCTGGGGAGGTGGTCCCCTGTGGTCTGGGGCGTTAGGGTCCGGCTCACGGCTTCCGCTTGCTTTCCCGAGGGAAGGGAGGCGGTCTGTGAACGCCCGCTGGCCCCTCCTGTGGACGTGGGAGCTGCTGCTTTGACCATCGACCTGCAGTGTTCGTGGGCGTCAGCTTCCCAGAGCCTCTGCCTCTGTCTTGTGCTCGGAGGATAATGAGGCCCCCGGCCCTGCCCTCCTGAGGACTCCCAGCTGCTCACTAGGGCTTCTGACATCCTGTGGCCAACACACCTCCGGTGGGGACCCCACAGCGTGGGCCAGCTTCTGAGTCACGGGTGCCAACCTCAGACGGGCCTGGGACCTGCAGAACCAGCCACCCCCCGTGGGTGCCCCACCTCTGCCGGAGTGGCCCTCCCAGCGTTCACTGTCCTGTGCTGGTCGCCGCCCAGCACTCACCTGGGACAGGCACACCTCTCCCTCCACCACGAGGGGCCCCTGTGGGCCTGGGCGTGGGCAATGTTTCAGGGGGGTCCTGGCACCTCCGCAGCTGCCAGGTGCTCGGCATGTCGGCTCTGCGCACCCACACCCTTGAGCTGTGCACACGTCGCTAGAATGCGTGTTGGGTCTCTGAAGAGTAGGGCGCATTAGCTCGGTGGGGTCCCGGAGCTGCTCCGCGTCGGCGAGGTCGGGGTGCACGCTCACTGGCTGGCCAGCTGGCCTCGGGTGAGCGGCGGGGCCCGGGCTGCGCTGGGCTGGGCGACAGTGCCACCACGTGTGTCTTTCTCTCCTAGTGTGCGTCTTAATAGAAAAGCTGTCGCTTTCTAAAATGCCGTTTAGAGGTGACGCTGTAACTGGTGAGTACTTTTCTTCCTGGGGACTGCACGATTAGAAGGTGGGAATGAACTTGTCGGAGGTCGGACGGGTTCAGGGAGTGAGAGCACTCATCCTGAACGGCCCTAGCCCCTCGACCCTCTCCCTGCAAACAAAAGGGCCCTCACTGCCAGGCTCAGGGCTGTGCGTGGTCGTCCCCTGACCCAGAGGACGAGAGCCGAGTGACCCAGGCCCTCACGGACCGGGAGGGTCTGCAGCCACACCAAGGGCACATGGGTAGCGGGCGGTGCCAGGCCACCTGTGGATTTGGACCCTCCCAGTCCCGGGCCTGCTGCTGCCCTGTGAGGACCGAGCCCTGTTTCAGCTGGACAGACTTCAGGGGCTGGGCTTGGTGGAAGCTCTGAGGTGAGTACTTGGGCTCCTGTTGGTGGACGCCGGGGAGATCATTCCAGAAAGGGAGAGAAGATATTTGAAGCTTGCAGGTGTAATAAAAGAACATTTTCTTAAAATATGACATTTGGGGATTAGCATTTGGCGTAATGGCTATGTCACTGGACTCCCATGTAGCTGACCGCGGTTCAAGTCCCGGACCTGGCGGCTTAAACTCATGCTGGGCGCATGTGCGTGCACGCCCAAGATCCCGAGAGGAAAATGGAGGAGAAGGGATTGCTGCACGGCCATCTCCCCTGGGGGGTGATTTCTCACTTTCTGTCTGTCTGTCTGGCGAGTGCATGCACCCTATAGCAAAAACCTGCCCCCCCCAAAAAAAATCTGACATTTAAGCCATTAAGTCTATAGAATGCTAGTATTTATTATAATAAAGCTTTAACATTTTAGCAGCCAAAAGACCTCTCCCTTTCATTGATTTAATTTCCTGAGGGTGTGAGTGCTTGCTGGAGATAAAGGAGGGAGAGGGAGAAGGCACCCCTCACTGAGGCCTGGCCATGCCAACGTCCCCTCTCCATTTCTCTACCCTGTCGGGATCTTGGCGTGCACACACCTGGTGAGGTCTTCAAGACACCAGGGCCTGGATTCAAACCAAGATCAGCCATGTGGCTCGCCTCCCTTAACCATTGGGCTACGGGGCCCACCCATAGCTTTCTTCCTTAAAATTGAGAGGGCCTTTAGTACTTTTTAAAGAATTATTTTATTTAACTTTATTACTTGTTTTTAATTTGACCAGAGAGGGACACAGCAAGTGAGCAAGCGAGAGAGAGAGAGAGAGAGAGAGAGAGAAGGAGGGAGAGAAAGCCACCAGGTCCAGGACTTGAACCACAGCCGG